GGGGGCTAGATTTCAAAATGAAGTTGCCTACGTATCCCAAACATGGGAATCAAGCCTTACGTAGTTCCGGTTAAGGTACTCTCGGGTATTTTAACCTTCACTTTCTCAGGCTCTAACTTTTGCCAAGGTGCCCGATGCGGGTTTTCGACCTTGCGAGCATCATTTCATTTTCTTTTGTTCATTTCTTTTTTTCTTTTCTTTTTTTCTTTTCTTTCTCTTTTCTTTCCTTTTTTTTTGCATTTTTTTTATATTTTTCTCTTGCTCTAACTTTTGCCTGGGTCGCCCTTCCGGGTTTTCGGCACAGCGAGCATCTCAAAGGGTAAAAGTGTAACAAGTCCATGCCAAATGGTTTTTGAAGTTGAAGCCTCTCTGTCTAGGAGAACGGTTGTTGCAATGATTTGTAGGAGAATCGATCACGGTTGCTCCACAAGCTTCTTCCAGCGAGATCTAATCCTTCTGATTCGGCTTTGGTGCCCCTTGCTCGAGGGCTGCTTCAGAACTGGCCACGCGGGCCTCCTCCGACAGTTGACCGTTGAATATTCCGGATGAGTTCGTGGTTCAAAACAAACAGGTCGAATCTTGAGGCTGAGAGCAATCCTGGGCTGCACAATCTCAAGAGCAGTTCCACACAGGTCTTCACAGGGCCGTGTAAAACATTTGTTTTTGAAAGTTTTTAAGAAAGCGACGAATCGCTCGTGCCGAAGATAGTGTGGAACCAATCTGGATCAAGCTAGGGTCCTTCCCAGTACTCATGCTGACAAGCATGGTTTCATTCATTAAAAAAGGCTTAGCATGCTTCTCTTTCTCTTAAAATGATCAAAATTTTGCAAAACCGAAGAAATTCCTTCCTCTTCGTTTTTATCACCGCGGCGTTCAAAAAGGGGTTTTTGAAAAACTTAGGCTAATGCAATGAGTTTGGCGCGCAGGAGAGCAGGCAAGATGTACTGTCAGTCCATTCAAGTCCTCTGGCACAATTAACTCACACTGAAAGCAAGCATGAAAATGAGATAGCCACAGCTGCTTCATTCAGATTTGTTGGTATAACTGGCCCCTCGACGGAAACAGACTCAAAAGCAAAAACAGGTAATTACAAGACAAAACGGCGTTCAAAGCAACAACCCCGGAACCACCTGGTATTCTATACAAAAGGGGACTGACTCGATACAGTAAGACAGACCCTTAAGCAAAAAAACTGATTCAAAACAAAGAGACAGACTCAAAATAAAAGACTGACTCGATACCCAAGCCAGAATTTACAAAACTAGCGTTCACCGATGCTCAAAAATGCGTACCAGACGCCACATCCAAAATATACCGAATGCCGCCCGCAGGTGGTTCACTTTCTGATTACGTACTTGCAGTATCTGCGTCCTCAAAATCCAATAACTGGGTGGTAATGGACTTGGCTGAGGTGGACGGGAGGATAACCTCGTTGTCGATCAAATCTTGCACCTCATGACGGAGGTGGAAACAATTGTCGGTAGCATGGCCTGTCTGCTGGTGGTACGCGCAGTACTGAGCAGCATCATGCATAGCAGAGAGATTCTTCGGGAGAGGCCGAGGCTCCAAGGGTTTAAGGTGTCCCCTCTCGGCAAGGATCTGAAGTGCCTTAGACAGGGGCATGTAGAGAGCATGAAAGACCCTGCGTCCTCAGGGCAGGTATTTTGAAGTCTGAGCGTTCTTACTAGACGTACAAGCGAAAGGGTCGGCAGGCGCCACCTTGGCTTTCTGATCTTTCCCGGGTGCAGGGCTGGGAATAGGAGAAACTGTTCTGGCATGACGGGGCCTATCCCGGTTTTCTGACTGGCTTGAACTACCCTCAGGTGGAGTGGGGAAAGCATCCTCCACAGTTTTTGCCACAACTGCGGATATCTGTTGCTTGTTCATCCCCCCGGCTTTCAAAGCCTCGACTGCCCGCAGCAGTTGTTCAATGGGATCGGCATCCGCCTTCGCTTTGTCTTTTCCTCTGGCCTCAGCCTGATCGAGGGTTTGGGTCGATGTTGGTATGTCATTACCATAGCTGGAGGCCATCTCCGGTTGGCTAAGTTCAATCACAATTCTCCCCAACAACGGGGGCTCCTAGGGTACAAAACTCCCGGCATATGGTGCGGCTGGGGGTGAAGCTGACATTCCGTAGGCGAGATCCGCCACAGACCTCTGGAGATCACCTATCATCCCCATTAGTTCAAATGTAGTAGGCTCGCGAACCTGATATAGCTGGGGGGGCCAGACCGGGTGCGCAACAGGTGACCTGGGTGGATGTGACATATCAATGTTGGTCTCACTTTGCAGAGCGATCCCTTGATCTAGCGCAGCTGTCATAACCACGATCTCTTCTGAATTCTGCGTCATCATAAGTCCACTGTATTGAACGGTGACTGACGGATCAGATATCTGTCTTGCCTCAGCAAGGGGGAATACTATCTACTCTGTATCAACTCTCCAAACCTCTAAACTGAAAGGGAAAACAAACAGCATTTCAATCCAAACAGACCAACCACAGGTGTAACCGAACAACTGCACTCTACTGCCGATCACTGTTCCCCAGAATTACTGTCCCCAAAATTGAACCCGATACCCACAGATAACTGATTCTCAACAACACTGATACTTGTGCCCTCGGGCCCGATACTCAAACTTGCAAACTGGTATGTACGTTCCTGTAGAGACACATTCTAAAAGCACATAGCAAGTAAAGAGAGCCAAAACACCTCTATGTTGGGGTAGGGTTTCCCTGTCCTATTTTGTCAGGAGCTAGGGTTTCACTATGCACACAGCAGTTTCAAACAACCTATAATCGGGTAAGCAACCTGTCCTACCTTGGGATGGTCACTATGGATCCGAATATGCACTAGGTCGAATGGTCAAAAAGGGTGCCTCGGTAAAAACCAGGGTTTGTGTTCCCATGCTGTCAGAGCCCATAACCGGTCAGCCTTATGGTCATGCCTTGACAAGACAAGCCTCCGGCAAACCGTTCAGGAATGGCAGATGGCAAACACGGTGTCCTAGGCGCACCAATGCACATGCAATGCAAAGAGACACATAAATGAGATCAAAATAGGATATCATGAGTTCGAGTCAAGCTCTCTAAATGTCCCCAGCAGAGTCGCCAGAAACTGTAGACGCGCCCGTGTGGGGCGCTCGCTCTACAGTTCGGACTCGATTTGTTGTCATGGTTCTTAATCTGAACCAAAGAGTCCAAATCCGGCAAATCGTTTTGAGAAACAGATTTTTTGAAAGAAGTGCCAAACATGGACTGCTTTGCCAGATACAGAGTCGCCACCTAAATATTTTAAAATGGGGGAATTTAAGAAACCCTGACTCGGTGCCAAAGGCCACGTGTCCATCATCACCAAAGTTGCCTCGGCTCGGGAACTTGGGTATGATTGGGGAAGGCCAGCTATGAGCACCCCCTCTCGCCCGATCCGAAGATCGGCCTCTACTAACCATGATATCCGATTTTGAAAACGTTATGTGTTCTTATTCCCCCCTCTCGCCCGATCCGAAGATCGGCCTCTACTAACCGTGATATCCGTTTTTGAAAACGTCATGTGTTCTTATCCCGATTATTAGCCTAGAATTACAATGTTATGCACACAGCAAACAAGTATAGACTAGATTGCCTAATTTGGAAATAAGCATTGCATATCCGTTTGTCTTAAAAAAAAGTACTTTGGAATTTGCTACTCGCAAGTAGGCTAAAATACGGATTTCAACGAGTTTTTCCAACTCAAACAATCCAACCTTCACCCACAGGCAATCAAACAGTTTATCAGAGACTTAGACGTCACCAGTTGAGTGCTTGGTGATGTTGCGTAATGTGCTTGTTCAGAAGTTTCAGAGTCACGGCCGTGAGCCCTACCTCCGGACTTCCGAACCCTCTTCTGTGCCTTGTCTCGGTTTGCGAACCAGACTCGGTTTTCTCTGTTTCTTTTCCTAAGGGAAGGGAGAGGTCCCGTAGACCATCTCTCAATGTCCGTAGGCTACATTTGGTGGCCGTAGGCCATTTTTCCCATTTCGGAGTCCGGTTTCCGGTTTTCGGGGCCGTCAGGCCGTGTGCCTCGGTTCGGGACCGCTTAACCATCTCCTTTTGCTCCGGTTTTTGGCATACTTCCTATTTGCTCCATTTTGAGGGACACTGGGGTCCCGGAAACCCACTTCGTGGCTGAACACCATTTTCGGTGCTTAACAGCCCATTTTCGGGATCCCGAACTGCGTGTTTTGGCCCCCGAACATTCGTTTTGCATCGATTTTTGCTCATTTTTGGCAGGTACCTCTGTTTCATCACTAGGAAGGTCATGGAAGGGTGGAAGGCTAGTAATTGTTGCAGCAACCAGTTATCTCTCCTCCGGAGCCTCCCGGCGCCCTTTTTTCCAACTTCCGGGCTAATGTTGAACACCCTAGGGTTAGTGTTGCCAACTTTCAACCACATATCTATGATCCACACACTTGGGAGGCCACTAAAAGTTGGTGGCCGGCCATTAAGGTTACCTGACCCTTTTGACCCCTTTCTTCCGGGCTAATGTTGAACCCCTTGGACCAATATTATTGCAAAGTTACACTAGTAAAATCTCAGCAATTAGTATTTTTTGTTCTAAAAATTGGTTAAGTTAATTTGAATGATTAGTTAAAATAAAGAGTGTGGTTAGAAAACACAATAACTAAAACAACTAGATAAAATAAGGAGTATTATTTTTGTACTTTAACTACAGCATGTTGGAGTTGCTCTTAGGGGATGGGGAGGGCAGTCTCCATAATTGATGGGAGATGGGGAATGGGATGAAAAATTAATATCTACCCCAAAGCCCCCATTGCTATCCCTAACAATACCCAACCCAGACCTTGAGAATATTTGATGGGTATGTAAAAAAAAATTATGAGCAAAATGGATATCCTAATGTAGAAAAAAAATAAAAAAATAAAATGTAAGAAATAAATAATACAGTACAAAATTTGAGCAATTGACAACCCATCTCAGCAGAGCAATTTAGGAGAAAAAATAATGAATAATTCAATATCGATGGAACTACTAAGTATTAACACATCATACCAAAAAAATGAACAATTGAGATATATGCAACCTACTACAAGCATAGAGCAATTTGAATTATTCCAATCCCTGTATTATTATTATTATTATTATAATTTTGTCTACTAAAACGTATGATTGGATCGAGAGGACTACGAATTTAGCCAAACCATCCTCGATGCCAAAGTACTGACATGAAAGTGAACCTCAGCCGCGTGCTGCAACTGCGGGAGTGGCAGAAGCTCCAGCATTGGAACCGGCACCGGCGAGGAAGGAAAGGAATCCAGTAGCAGAAGCAACAGGTTCTTGCTCATCGAGAAACAGATCTTCGGGAACCCTAAGAGCACCGTGGCCACAAATAATGGCCAATCCAACCATGAGAGCAGAGATGAGTACAGATCCAACGCTGGTGAGGAAGATGACGAGGACGGTTGATAAGACGAGGATGCCTAGGGTTTCCCGTTCTGTAAAGGTACGGCCGAAGATGAGGAGAGGGGGATCGGAGGGGCGGAAGACGTAGAGGAAGAGCCAGGCTGTGAGGAGAGAGAGGAGGAGGAGGAGAGCGAAGGGGTTGGTGAGGAGAGAGA